TTTACTATCCTTTGTGTGCTTTTTCAGATATGCTATGCACATTCCCACCTATGTATGTAAATTCCTTTAAAGTTCTAGTTATTTCTAACTTTAAGGGATTTAAATCCTCAAGTGGCTTCTGCCCCAGTAATAGAAAAGAACAATCTGACTCCATATTAGATCTGTTCCTTTGACTTTAACCCTGTGCTCTGTCTCCTAGGCTTCATCTTGCTTGTAAAACAATGTTGCCTAGAGCCTGAAATATACAGAAGAACCTATTCTGAAGGCTCTGACCTTTAAGGATATTTAACACTTTTTCATTCATAAAAAGAAAACAAGTTGCAGAATAGAAAATAAAGTTTGTTTTGTTGGAGGTTTACAGAGATTTGACCCAGGCAGATAGCTGTAAGAACAAAGGATTCTAACAACAAGGAATTCCTACACCAAGAAGTTTGCAATAACCAAGCATGTAGGAAATGAGGCTGAATTCTGAGTTGGGAAGATGGTTTCCCAGGACATTAGTATGCCATCTAGCTGTACAGAAACTTGCTATTCCATGCCCCAACACCAGGTCTCCCAACTTATTGGCCTGTCCTTCACTGAGGAGAATGAATTTGGACTCGGTAACACTCCTATCTACCTAGCAAGCTAGGCACTGGAACTGAGGACAGCTCTCCCACACCCAGGAACCTACTGTGAGCCCTTAATGGTTCCACTAGGGTTAGATGTGTTTTACCCAGGAGGGATGGGGACTACGCACCAACACTCAGGCAGTCTGCTGTCTGAGGCTCTGATCTTGTACCTCCCACTCCCCGCAAGGCCAACACCTGGGACAGTGGAGCTAAGGCAGAGATGGTGCCTGCCTGTTTCTCAGCCTGTAAAAGGGGAATATGTACTCTTCCCAAGGTAGTTCTGAGCGACACCTGCGGATGCTTGGTTCCCAGAGCAACAGGAAACCCAGCTCCGCGTGGGGACAATGGGTGTGATCCCCGTAGGGGTTCTGCAGAGACATCGGCTGGAGGGCTCGACCAGGGAGGTACAACTTGAGCTGCGAGGCTTGAAGGGTTAGAGAAGGGTACAGAGGCAGGACTGCTGCCTCCTTTGGGTTGAGCCCAGAGGTAAAGCTTTTTCTCTTCATCTCCGCTACTCCCATCCCCTCTCCATATCCTTCCCTTCTCTCTGCTCCTCCTGTCCATCTGTCTCCCTCCACTTTTCCACTCCTCTCCTCGTCCTACCATCTTCTAGCTCCCTTGGTGCCCCAGCTTCTCTCACACAACCCAGAGCAGATCGCTGGCCCTCCTGCGCATGCGCAGTCGGTGCCAGTTGGACCGCGGGTTGGAAGCTCCAGCTCCGAGCCGGGGATGGGCCCCAAAGGCTGCTCAGCTCTGTCGCCCGGTAGGCCTTCGGCTCCTACCCGGGACCGGGGCCTCTGGCTGTGGAAGTGAAAGGTGGGGGTTCCCAGGAAAGGTGTCAGGCGACTGCGGGAAGACGGTCCGCGTGTCACAATCCGCGAGGGTGCGATCTGCATGTGTTCAGCTGAATTCCTCGGGTCAGGCCCCTCTGCCCGCGCCACCTGCCCCGGCGCCCCGGCCACAGCTGTCCAGGGTCAGGTGTGCACCTGCCGCCTCTCGCCCAGCCGGGCTCCCCTCAGTCCGCGGCTGGCGTCCCCTTCCCCTCTCCCGCCCGCGAGTCCTTTCCTCCCGGGCTTCCTCTCCTCGGTGTTCTACCCGTACCCGACCCTGGGAGGGCTGTGTCCTCGGTGGGCGGGGTCTGTGGACCCAGAC